ATGGGGAGGCAAAGTTTTACCTTTATCCCCTAGGATTTTTGACTGGGCCTGAGAATCAAATTGATGTAAAACAGATTCACAGGAGAAAAGCACATACATTTCTATAAGTTTTATGTGACGTGGAAGCTCTCCTAAGGAAATGAAAGGGAAAAGAACTGGCAGAACCTAAATGCTTTTAAACTAGGTTGAACAAAGAGGGGCAATTGTAGAAAAGTTACCAAATTATGTGGGGAGGCTAAAGGAAGATAAGAATCATGTTACCCAGGTCTGTTTGTACAGAATTCTCTTAGCTCTGACAACATGTGGTTTTTTCTTCTGGTGCCCGGAGAGCATCTTTCACATGCGAGTTTTTATCTCTTGTTTTCAGGAAGAAAAGAGGAAGATTAGGATGTCCTTCTTGTATCAAGTGCCTTTACCGCAAAATAATCCTAAGCCAAAGTGGCATATTTTGGAATGGCATATTCTGCCACCGCTTAACTGTAATGGGGGGCATTTGACATTTTCTTGCACACTGATTATTCACAAATACTCTACAACATAGAGAATTACTAGAGGCCATTTCTATACCAGGACAGATAGCAGTCGTTTGACTACGCGTGGAAGGTACTGTGAATCTTGGAAATTTTTCCCACTAAATCTAAATTAAGGCCAGGCACAGTGGCTCACACCTGTAATCCCAGCACTCTGGGAGGCTGAGACAGGTGGATCACCTGAGGTCAGGAGTTCAAGACCAGCCTGGCCAGCATGGTGAAACCCCATCTCTACTAAAAATACAAAACTGAGCCAGGCATGGTAGCACATGCCTGTAGTCCCAGCTACTCAGGAGGCTGAGGAAGGAGAATTGCTTGAACCCCAGAGACAGAGGTTGCAGTGAGCCGAGATTGTGCCACTGTACTACAGCCAGGGCGACAGAGCAACACTCTGTCTCAAAAACAAAAACAAATGTAGGCTGGGCATGGTGGCTCAGTGTGTAATCCCAGTGCTTTGGGAGGCTGAGGAATGAGGATCACTTGAGGCCAGGAGATCAAGACCAGCCTGAGCAACATAGGAAGGCCTATCTCTACAAATTAATTAATTAGCTATGGTGGCACACGCCTGTAGTCCCAGCTACTTGGGAGTCTGAGGCGGGAAGATCACTTGAGCCTAGGAGTTCAAGGCTTCAGTGAACTGTGATTACACCACTGCACTCCAGCTTGAGTGACAGAGCAAGACCTTGTCTCAAAAAAACCCACACACACATAAAATGACCATGTGACATATGAAGTTTCATGAGTTCTGTGGTAACTCTGCCTTGATATCTTCATTCACATGCCTGTTGCCTCTTGATCATATGATAGGTACATGTCCTGGCACAAATCTGTGATAAACTCAGGAAGAAGGCCAAATGTGCAGGTCAGCCAAATCTGCCCCCTATAGTGTTTTCCTGAAGCTCCACTTGGTGACCTCCACTTACTAACTGGTCAAAACTGGGTCCTATGGCTCCTAGCTGCAAGGGAGTCTGGGAGGTATTTTTAAGTAGACACACTGCTGTGCTGACAAAATCAGTTCTGTTGGTCAGGAAGGAGAGGGTGAATATTGTGTAGACTGCTAACAGTGTCTGCCTCCCCTTTCAGATTATTTTCTGTGAGTACAGAGATAGGTAGATATAGATGATAGATAGATAGAGTGTACCTGTATCCTGTATTTTTTACAGAAATTTATACTGCTTTATAATGTCTTTAAGTGATTCACAAATACTCAAAACCAATAAATGAGAAATTTTTTTTTACCTAAATTGACATGTTGACCAACTTTTACTACTGAATAAATTGCATTCAGCTAAATAATATGCTATCTTTTTTATTGTGCTTAAATATGCTCCTTTTTTATAGTAGCAGAACCTTCTTTCAAATAAAATCTCCATCCATAACGCTGATGAAAGCCGCGTTCTCTGGATGAGTACAGGTAGATGTCAGGAACCCTTGCTCTCCTCTCTCCCCAGACCCCAAAGCATTTCTGTGGAACTCAGTATAAACAGCTCTGTCTCAGCAGGTTGTTGGGCAAGATACCCTCTAAGATCCTTCAGCCCACAAAGTCTTCTTTGCAACTGAGACGCCCAAGAGTAGGCTGGGTGGCTCATACTGCAAGCAAGGGAAGGGGAAGTCCAGGCCAGCAAGAACAAGCTGGGAAGTGGCTGCGCTGCTGGGCCCTGCACACTGAAGCCGCTCCACTGAGGGCCTTTCTTCAGGCATTTTTGCAACAGACCAGGCAGTGCTGGCCCACAGGCCAGATACAGTTTCCCCATCCACGGGAAAGGAAAAATGCCACCCACTTTAAATTATTTTCCAGGTTTCTTTCTGTAGTTTTAAGGAGATGAAATAACTGGCAGTCTAAAATATTCTCGAATACGTGACATCTTCTGTCATTTCTAGGAAGACATTGGGAGGAGCGAGCTCAGATGACTGTGACACTGGGGAAGTGGAGACAGAGGACTAGTCACAGACTCAAGAAAACCCACACGTTGACTGTTTCCCCTTTTCCAGTTGCCTTCTTCGTGTTTCTCTGTGGGAGGGCTCAGGGGTCCTCTGTCTTGAGGGACAGGAAACAGAGAAGGCAAGAGCCACCGTAGAGCACTGTGATGAGAGCGTGTAGAACCGACCCTGGATCCTGGATCGGGGAAGTGGGATGGATGGGGAAGTCACAGTGGAAGCAGACAGCAGTGTTAAGTGGTTGCAGTGGAAATATCCTGCCTTGGTAGATTTCTCTAGAGACAGAAAAGGCAACGCAACTGCATTTTAGTTTTTATTTACATGGCTTAGTTACATTCCACTTTCCCCAACAGGGTGAGCACCTCCCACTTTCTCACTCTCCCAGGCTTTTTCCCTTTCACTTTCCTTTCCATCCCTCCCCACCTCCTAGTCAGGGCAGGTTGTTTTTGTTTTTGTTTTTGTTTTGTTTTTTGAGATGCTCTTGTTGCCCAGGCTGGATTACAATGGTGCGATCTCGGCTCACTGCAACCTCCACCTCCCGGGTTCAAGCGATTCTCCTGCCTCAGCCTCCTGAGTCGCTGGGATTACAGGCATGCACCACCACGCCTAGCTGTTTTTGTATTTTTAGTAGAGATGGGATTTCTCCATGTTAGTCAGACTGATCTCGAACTCCCAACCTCAGGTGATCCACCCGCCTTGGCCTTCCAAAGTGCTGGGATTACAAGCGTGAGCCACCGTACCCAGCCCAGGGCAGGTTTTGACCCCGCCTGTCACTTCCCTGGCTGAGACCTGTCCCAGGGTCCAGGTGAGGCTCACTGAATCCCATAGACACTGGCCCTTTTTCTCTTCCTCTCCCTACCTAAGATACTAGATAAACCCAAAGGAATTTTCAGCAGAAATCAGGAAATCAAAGATGAAATTCCAATGTTCAAGAAGTTTGGTTTTTTTGTTTTTGTTTTACTTTTTGTTTTGAAATAATTATAGATTCATAGGAAGTTGCAAAAGTAACACAGACAGTTCCCATGCACCCTTCACATAATTTCCCCTGGTGCTATTATCTTATGTAATTTATAGCATAATAGCAAAACCAGGAAGTTGACATTGGTATCATCCACAGACTTCATTCACATTTCACTAGTTTTATAGTGATTTCCTTTTTAAACAATTTTTCTTAAGTATGAACATGATAGTAACCATATTACAAAAAATTGTGGCAGAAAAAAATATTCTTAGTTCTACTGTCCTATGTAGCCACCCTAATCATGTGAAGGGTCATTTCTTTCCAGTCTTTCTGTGCGCTTTTAGCATAATTGAAAGCACTGTTTAGCTGGACACAGTGGCATGCACTTGTAATCCCATCTACTAGGGAGGCTAAGGCAGGAAGATCACTGCACTCCAGCCTGGGCAACATAGCAAGACCTTGTCTCAAGGGGGAAAAAAAAAAAAAAGCATTATTTATGTACATTATTATAACCTGATTTTTATTTAATGTTTTAAATAAACATAGTTCTCCATAACCTGTTCTTTATCATTGTACATAGCTATATGATATATCAAGTGAATATGCCATATTTTACTTATTTATTCCCCTGTTACTAGATACTAGATTGCTTCAGTTTTACTCTTTAATAATTTTATAATGAACAACCTTGTTTATCTTACACTTTCCAAGGTTTGGATTCATTCACTAGTATTGACACTCAAGGATGTGTGAACATTTTTACAACTCTTGATAAAATGCCAAATTGCTTTCTAAGAGTTGTCTCAAATTTTAATCTCACAAATTAGTGTTAATTCCTTAAACTAGTGTTTTAAACGATTGGGAGCAGTGGACGGGATCATTTTTCTGTCATTCTTATAATAGTTGAAGACTGCTACCTTTTTTGTAAAGTTCTAATTTCTAGTAAAGTGGGTCTTTTTTGTTTCTTCTACTTACTGGTAATACTTTCTATTTTGTGACACGGTGGTTTGAATTCTTTGCCCAATTATCAGTTTCGTGTTTTACTTACTGATTTGTGGGAGCTCCTTAGCTATGAAAATGTTCACCTTTAATCTGTTAAACTTGCTTCAGACACTTCTTCCCAGTTTGTTGTTTTCCTGTTGATTTGGTTTATTTTTAATATACTGCGCATGTGGAAATGTTCGTATTTTTATGAAATCAAATGTCCGTCTTTTTTTCCCTTCTCATTTTTACATTTTTTTCCCTTGTCATTTTTCCCGTCTCATTTTTTTCCCTTCTCATTTTGGAGATGTGATGAGTTACAGTAGTCAACCGCTTTCTTCCTTTTCCTACGGTTTGTCCTTGTTTTAATTTATACTGCTAAATGGTATGATACGGAAATCCGTTAGCAGAAAAAGGGTTTTTCTCCGCAATTTCTGTTTACTTGAATAATTTGTGACATGATCCTTCCTCATTTATTTGCAAAGCTCCTTATCATTATAGAGTAGTTTATTCAGTGTATTCTGTTTGACTTCTAGGTCAGCTCTCCAGTAGATATTCCTCTAGCCCTTTTTTCTCTTTCCTTCCACCAGATCATGACCAACACGGGGAAGACAAGGCGGAAGGGGCTGGCCAATGTGCAGTGGAGCGGGGATGAGCCCCTGCAAAGGCCCGTCACCCCCGGCGGCCACAGAAACGGGTACCCAGTGTAAGTCAGGGCTAAAGCGGGAATTGACTTTCTTAGGCTTTGTTTTGATTCACTACAGTGTAAGATGTATGTATTTTTAAAATTCAAAATAAAGGATTCATTTTGAAAAGCATTTATCTCTTTATTTTGGGGGGATTTTTGGAGGGAAAGAGGTTGAGTCCTTCTCCCTTCCCCCAGGATTTTTTTATTCCAGAAAGAGAAGTGGTTGGATTACAGGATCTCCAGGGCCACTTCAGAAGACAAATGTTGGCCAGAGTAATTTCAAAAGAAGGGACCTGAAAGGAGCCGGGCTGGCTCCAGAAGGACTCCTGTCGTGCTTTTCTGTGGCCTCTCGCCGCAGCACCAAGCCCTTTGTTGGCATTGGAATGTTACAGTTTAAGACTCGACATCAATTTATTTTAGATGACTTTTTGGAACAACTGGATGCTGTTTTAGCTGCCGAGCCTTATTCATTTTCCATAGCCTTGCTCGTGCCCCATTTATATAAATAAAATTTTAGTCTCGTTACGTAGAGCCTCTGGTCTCCCTGGGGCCTAGACCCCTTGTGGGCTAAGGAGCCCCAGATCAGACAGTCCAGTGGGCAGCAGAGGAGCCACTTCTGCGGTCTGGGTGGCCTCTCTTTTCCTGTCTAGAGAGAATATTACAGCCAAATATTACAGAGAGCAGGCTAAAAACCTCCATATATTCATTCAACAAATAATGTAATACTTTAAAAGAATAGACCGTGTTGTACTTAGTTATCCCCTGAAACTGGGCACTTTATTTTTTCCAGTCTTACTCTGTTGTCATTTTGTAATGAACAACCAGGCACTGGGAACTGAGCAACAAAACTCAGAAATGCCTGCCCTCATGGAGCTCTGTGCTGCCACAGACACGAGGGACACCAGGCAAGACAGACCCAGCTCCTTGATGAGTTCTGTTGCCCATCAGGATTTGTCCTATAAGTATTTCAGGGCCCGTGCCATAGATGAGTGCTCTGAGATCTGTTTGGTTTGATTTCATAATTAGGTATGATATGCTTATATTTCTAGGTTTTTATTTTTAGTTACTGATATATAAACTAGTATCATGCCCTTTTCTCTCTTAACCTTACAATCAGTGTTTTTAACCTACAGAGAAGTTGAAAGAATATTACACTGAAGATGGCCAGGCACGGTGGCTCACGCCTGTAATCCTGGCGCTTTGGGAGGCCGAGGTGGGCAGATCATGAGGTCAGGAGATCAAGACCATCCTGGCTAACACGTACTAAAAAATACAAAAAATTAGCCCAGTGTGGTGGTGGGCGCCTGTAGTCCCAGCTACTTGGGAGTCTGAGGCAGGAGAATGGTGTGAACCCAGGAGGCGGAGCTTGCAGTGAGCTGAGATCCGGCCACTGCACTCCAGCCTGGGTGACACAGCAAGACTCCATCTCAAAAAAAAAAAAAAAAAAGAATATTACACTGAAGGGCTTCCAATTAACATTTGTGTGCCCTATCTCTCTCTCGCACTCTCTTTCTGTGTGTATAATCCACAATTTACAAGCATATACATTTTTTGCTGAACTATCTGAGAGAAGATTGCAGACTTTTGCACATAATCCCATTATCACAGCTAAGAAATTTAACATTAATAATATGGATATAGTATTATCAGTATTCCTTAGTTGTCCCCTAAATGTCCTTTACCTCTGAGCGGTTTTGGGTCATTTGGCTTTCATCCAGAATATAGCCAGTTACCAATTACTAGTAAACTAGTTGATAAATATAATACCTTTTTCAATGGAAGTAGTGACAGGAACTAATGAAATTCCCCTGGCTTGACACAGGAAAGAGGACACTGAACCATTGTCTTAAAAGCATTTTTCAATTATGTTTTAAAATGATTAAAACCCTGCTTTCCTGAGCGACAACAATGACACAAGGCTATTTTAATCAGAGATAAGAACAGGGAATCTCATAAATGTGGGGCTAACCAGTGGGCACAGTTAATTCTTGGGTCAGGTGTTCTTCTTTGTAGAGAAGTTCGAGGACGTTTTCCATGCCTGGGAGCACCTCTCTCTCCCCCCTGCTACGTGGGGGTGGTCCTATCAAGATCTTTGACTGTGGCAAGCTGCCAGGTAATGAGGGCAGCTCGTTTTCCTGAAACCACGGACCTTCCCACTATAATGATGCAGTCACCCCGTCACCAGCTTCCCCATCAGGTCTCAACAAACATTTTTATCACTTCTCTGCCATATGGTGTCCTCATGGCTGGAGCTGCAGAAATCAATAAGATGTGACTCCCTGCCCTCAGGAGCACACAGACCAAGCTGTGTGGCAGGCAAAGGGCTGGTCAGTGGAACGCAGTGGGCACTCCCCCCAGCGCATGGGTACTCTGGACGGCTACACGATGCCGGCGTGCAAGATTTGTAGTTCTGCCTTTGCACCTGGAGCTCACCTCTAAAAACGTTTGAATGCTGGGGGTCTTGGACATCATCCTCTACAGACCACTATATGTGATGTAAGATAGGCATCCTGGCTTGTTTTTCTCCAGGTAGAGAGCACTCTTCTCTACACCACCTATAAACAGCTCATTATTTCTCCACTGATTCAAGGTGCCACTTTAATTCTGTATCCCCTCCAATTACCCTAGCTCTCTATTTTGGCACATTGTCCAGTTGCCTGTTGCCACACCAGTGTTTATTGCAAAGGTTCTTAGCATATCTAAATATCGCATAGGATAAGCCCCTCTCCCCGCCTGCCTTCCGCCTTCTCTTTCAGAGTGGATTTAACTATGTAGAGACCTTTATTTTTCCATAAGCATTTAAAAATAAGTCTGGCAACTTCCTTAAAAAATCCTTTTAGGATTTCGATTAGTGTCATATTAAATTTATGTAATGTTTTGGAGATAACTGAAATCTTTGCAATGTTAAGTCACTGCTCAGCATTACATCATATTAATTTTATATGTTAAGACAGAATAATGGTCCCTCAAAGATGTCCACATCCCAATCCCCACAACCTGTGACTAAATGACATTACATGGCAAAAAAGACTTTGCTGATGTGATCAAGTTAAGGATCTAGAGATAGATGATTCTGGATAATCTGGGTGGGCCCAATGTAATCACAAGGGGCCTTACTGAAGGGAAGCAGGAGTGTCAGAAACAAAAGGAGATGTGACAACTGTGTCAGAAGTCTGAGTGACACAAGGCCGTGAACCGAGGAATGCAGACACCCTGGAGAAACTGGAAAAGGCAAAGAAATAAATTCTCTCCTAGAGACTCCAGAAACAATGCGCCCCTGTTGACCCATTGTAAACTCTTGACCTCCATAATTGTGAGATGAGTTTGTGTTGTTTTCTCACTAAGGTTGTGGTAAGACTGCAAATTATGAAACAACTACAGGAAAACATTGGGAAATATCTCCAGGACCTTGTTCTGGGCAAACATTTCTTGAGTAATACCCGAGAAGCACAGGCAACCAAAGCCAAAATGAACAAATGGGATCACATCAAGTTAAAAAGCTTCTATAGCAAAGGAAACAACCAACAAAGTGAAGACACAGGCCACAGAATGGGAGAAAATGTTTGCAAACTACCCATCTGACAAAGGATTAGTAATCAGACTTAAAAAGGAGCTCAAATAATTCTTTAGGAAAAAGTCTAATAGTTGGATTTAAAAATGGGCAAAAGATTTGAATAGACATTTCTCAAAAGAAGACATACAGATGACAAACGGGCTTATGAAAGGGTGCTCAGCATCACTGATCATCAGAGATGCCAATCAAAACTACACTGAGATACCCTGTCACCCCAGTTAAAACGGCATATCTCCAAAAGTCAGGCAATAACAAATGTTGACAAGAATGTGGAGAAAAGGGAATCCTCATACACTGTTTGTAAGAATGTAAATTAGCACAACCACTATAGAGAAGAGTTTGGAGATTCCTCAAATAACTAAAAATAGAGCTACCACATGATCCAGCAGTCCTGCTGCTGGATATATACCCAACAGAAAGGAAGTCCATGTATCAAAGCTAGCTCTGCACCCCATGCTTGCTGCAGCACCATTCACAGGAGCCAAGATTTGGAAGTAGCCTCAGTGTCCATCAGCAGATGAATGGACAAAGAAAATGTGGTACATATACACAGTGGAGTACTATTCTGTGCAAAAGAATGAGATCCAGTCATTTGCAAAGCATGGATGGAACTGGAGATCATTACGCTACATGAAATAAGCCAGGCACAGAAAGTCAAACATCACATGTTCCCACTTACTTAAACAATCTAAACAATTGAGTTCATGGAGATAGAGAGCAGAGTGATGGTAACTAGAGACCGGGAAGAGTAGTTGGTTGGGGGTGGTGGTTGGGGAAGATGGAGAAGGTTAATGGGTGCCAAAAAAAAAAAAAAACACATAGTTAACAAAGAATGGGCCAGGTGTGGTAGCTCACGCCTGTAATCTCAACACTTTGAGAGGCCAAGGTGGGTAGATCACTTAAGGTCAGGAGTTCAACCTGGCCAACATGGTAAAACCTTGTCTCTACTAAAAATACAAAAATTAACCAGGTGTGGTAGTGAGCACCTGTAATCCAGCTGCTTGGCAGGCTGAGGCGGGAGAATCGCTTGAACCTGGGAGGCGGAGGTTGCAGTGAGCAGAGATCTTACCACTGCACTCCAGCCTGGGCAACAGAGTGAGACCCCCAACTCAAAAAAAAAAAAAAAAAAAAGAATAAGACCTGGTATTTCATAGCACAACAGAGTGACTATAGTCAATAATAATTGAATTGTACATTTTAGAATAACTAAAAGAGTATGATTGGATTATTTTTGTACACACAGGATGAATACTTGAGGGGATGGGTACTCCATTCTCCATGATGTGATTATTACACATTGCATGCCTGTATCAAAGCAATCCATGTATACTATAAATATATACACCTACTGTACCCACAAAAATCTAAAAAAAAAATTTTTTTTTGAGAGGAAGTCTTGCTCTGTTGCCCAGGCTGGAGTGCAGTGGCACAATCTTGGCAACTG